CCACGCTGCCTTTCCTCCCATCCCCTTCATGAAAAAAGGTGCAGAAAGGCCATTAGCTGTGGCTTATTTACCCCACAAATTCTGCTTTAATGGGCGCCTGCTAATGCAATATGTATGCCATGACCATGTGCGTACAGCAGAGGGCATGAGGTGTGTGGAGGGTCTGACGGCACCACCAGCCCAGGCCAGCCTTCGTGTGTTCGAGGAGAAATGAAGACCCATGAGGTATGACTGAGCTGTCAATCGGGACTCAGTTAGAGCTCCTTCTCCAAGCGGAGTCCTCCCTCTTTCTTCTGGACTCTCAGCAGTAGAGTGGCTGCTCTCTGTTGAATGTTGCAGAGAAAACCATGGTCTTGGAGCTCTTTTTCTTAAGTGAAAACTGTGCTTCCATTTATTCTGAAAGGGAAATAAATTGAAAAGTAAAACGCTATCGGCTATTTCTGCCAGTGCAGGAAACAATAAAGCAAGCACCTGGTTTCGTAGCTTTGTCCTCAATAGAGTTCTGGAAACAACTTCAAAATGTTATTGTATGAATCAGTTTGTCACATTTCTTGGAATTGACGACTAAAATCAATATTTCCATATTGAGTGTGCTTCTTATTTGTTTTTGAAAGAAGAATGGGAAAGCATGGAAACTGCTTATACAATGCCAAATACAAAAAAAATCAACATTTATTGTTATTATCAGCATCACTATATCAAGATGTGTAAACCGTCAGAACGCTCTAATAGTGCAATTTAACCGTGTTGCTTGTTCTTTCCTCTGCTGCTCTAGAAAAATGGAATGTTAACTATTTCTCATCACTTCCTGGTAAACATTTCTGCCCTTCAAGCTTTGCTAGGCTGTGGTGTTTATGAGACACCATCGAGGTCAACTCTTAAAGAACAAGGAGCATTGAGTTTCAGGGACACCACATGAGCCTTAGAGAAGCGGGGGGCAAAGAGAGGTTCTCCATAACTAGGAAGAGCTCCCGCTGGGCTGGCCAAGAATGAGATGGCTGAGCCTTGGAGACCTAAGTCTGATGGAGATGGAGACCCAGGGCATCTAGGCAGAAGGAAATGCAGGCTCCATCCTGTGCTGTTAGCCTGTGCTGAGCAAGGTGCAGAAACCACAGTACAACTGCAAAAGTAGAATTTTGACTGCGATGTTATGACTTTAAAAAAGGTTATTGCATACTGGCTATCAGAAAGTCATGTTGGTAGAACCCAGTCACCCTCTTGCACTGTCATGGAGTGTCCTGGAAGCAGATATTCCTGTGAATAAAATCGGGTCAGAGAAAAGGGGGCTAAAGGCATAAAAAAGAAGAGGACTTCATTTCTGAGATTGTGCAGGTTGCCTGGTTTCTGCTGTGGCTGCAAACATCAGTGTCTCTTGCTCAAACCATGAGCAATGCATTGTGGGAAAGGACTCTTCTCCTCTCTGATGGCCAGGAACTCAGGCTGATGAGAGCTCTGCTTTCTTGTGGTTGCAGAGCTCCCCTGTCACAATGTCAGGGGAAGAGGAAAATAAAGTGTCTATCCCTATGCCTGTGTTTGGAATTGACACATCATTTCTACCTATAGCCCATTGGCCAAACCGGCCCCATGACCCTGAGTAACTGTCAAGACACAGGGGAATTTGGGGGAGCACTGAACACTCAGAGGGCAGTGGATGTCCCCACAACACAGAGCTTGTCTAGTTCAGTGTTTTTCAAATTGTGCCTCTTTGACCCTTGGGCTCTGCAGAGGTGTATAACCAATTCTGTGGATAATGATGTGCAGTCAACTAAATGTTGAGTCAAACGATCATCTTTTATTTGCTTTTTTTTATTGGGGGATCTAAAAATGAATAGGTCGTGGAAAGAAATGTTTTGTTGCCGAAATAAATCATAAATTTACTCACTTGTTCCATTGTTTGCCTTCAAAGAACGGTTCAGTTACACCGTTGCACTCAGAGGGTTGTTTCGCTAGTCACTGAACATCCTTCAAGGGCACATGACGTTTCTCCTGCTTGGATTTCAGCCTCTTAAGCAGTAAAGTCAGGATGTTATCTCCACTTACCTACATAATTCTAAACATGCTCATCTTTCACAGCAACAACAATAAAATCTAAGGAGCATGTGCATGAATTGTGAGGCAAACTAGCTATGTGACCTCCAGTAAGTCACCCAGCCTCTCTGAGCTCCACTTTTCTCATTTATAAAAATGGGGATAATACTAGAAACAAGCTTATGCTTTGTATTGTTGTCAGAATAAAATAAGTGGGTGGATGAAATGGGCTTAGCAAGTTCTAGGTACATAGTCATTGCTCGAGTGACCAAAGGTCATAGTGGTGGTTTCTAGAAAGTGGTAGGCATTTTATCAAGAAAACAAATTGTTTACACATAAAATTGTACTCCTGCCAGTAATAACCTATAGCCATCTATTAAAATGGCAAGAAATAAGACTGTAAAATGAATAAAACCCTAATAATTTTTAAAAATCTATCCAAGCCCAGTAGTTAATGGAGAAGGATGGAAACATTTATCCTAAACACCTTTTTGAAACAAAGGACATTATGCTAAGGAAAGGCAAGTGTCCTGGTCCACTCCCATCTGCAGGCTCCAGGCTGCTTCACTAAGCCTGGGGTCCCCCGTGCACAGTGCTCAGTTGCACCTCATTTGTGAGTGCTGTCCAGCGTCTTCCACTGGAGCCAAATACATAGCCAGAACTCTACTAGAAAGGAAAACCACTGTGCAGGATTACTTCCGGCTATGGTCTGAATGTCTGTGTCCCTGCTGCCCCCCCCCCCACCCCCGCCAAATTCATGTTGAAATACTAATCCCCAAAGTTGATGGTATTAGGGGTGGGGCCTTTGGGAGGTAATTAGGTCACGAGGATGGAGGTAACCTAAGGAGCATCAGGTGGAGGAGGACGTGGAGGCAGAAGAAAGCTGGTAGTCAGCTGGGGAACTAGGCTCCCTGTGACGCTGAAAAGTAAGTGTTCTGGGAATAAATGAGGGAACGAGGAGGGTAGAAGGCTCTGGCTAGAGATAGACTGTCTTGATTTAAAACCTCAGAGGTCAAGCAGTTATGGGTGGAGTGACAAGTTTTAGTGCGGGTATGTGCGGGGTGACTGCAGAGCTGGTTAGGTGAAGTGAATGGAATTCTGAATATGGTTTTGATCATATTTTAACACAATGTGAGATCATCTAGATGCAGAACATCCCTGTGGAGGTAGCCAGTGTGGCACATGTGATTAATAAACACACCAACGCCCCCCCCCGCCCCAAAGAAAAAAAAACACCAACTCTCCTTTTCCTAGTTCCAAGGAAAGAAATGGACACAGATTATAACTTCATTTTTATTTGGGAGCAGGAACAAAAGAGTTCAGCATTTACTGACAGAACTGCAGAATTAAATGGTGGTGCATTCTTTTTTTAAAGTGCATAAACTTGACAGCTAACATTCATCCTGATCGAGCAATAATGAACTAAACACTAGCCCTGAGTGGCTGCAAATTCAGCTGAAGTGTGTATCATTTGCAAATGCAGTGTTTCACTGTGAGCCTTCCCTGAGAACACACCTGGCATCTTTAGAGGAATTTGCCAGATTAGTCTGCAACTCTCAAATCTGCTGGGGACTTCTACATTTTCCTCAGCCCCTTCGGTCTCCAGACCCCTGAGCCTGCTAAGCTGAGTTACAAGCTGCTAGCTAAGCTTTAAAATCACTGTATTAGTCTGGAAGAGTTAATATACTCTGAGTACTTAGCTTTCTCCTAGGGAGTCATCTGCTCCTTGGTAGGAAACAGATGACTAAGCAATCATTATCAATGCCATGAGATAATTCTAGCATAGGGAGCAAATAATCCAGAGGATGGCATGCACTACAAAGCTTACTTACTGTGAAAGGAAGAAGGCAAGCAGCTTTTTATTAAATATTAAAGGACAAATCATGACATCACTGACCACTCTGTTATTATTGTCATATTTTCTCCTGAAGATGACAGAATTTCTTTTCTGGATTTCATAGAAAACACTTCAGGCATAAGTCTCAAGTAATGGAGCCAAATGTTGTTATCTGCCTTGACACATCATTATATTTGTGTTTCCATACATTAGCAAAAATAGTATCTTAAACTGTGATTACAGACAAGTTGAGTCAAGAGTGCTTTCACCTTAATTGAAATACATACAAATCAATACATCAATCTACATACATTTATTAAATGTCTTATAGGGAAGGTGCTGTCCCAGATGTAGTTGAGTGTAGAAATGAGCGTAAGACATAATTTTTATCTTTACAGGTCTTAGAAAGCTTTCATTTTATTTTTACCTTTTAAACAATATGTTTTTATGATTTTAGAGAGAAGAGGGAGAAGAGAGATAGAACCATTGATGAGAGAAACATTGATCAGCTGCCTCCTATATACCCCTACCAAGGATCAAGCCTGCAACTCAGGCATATGCCTTAATAGGGAATCGAACTGGTGACCTCCTGGTGCATGGGATGATGCTAAACTGAGCCACACCGGCTGGGCTATTCATACTTTTAGCATCAGACATGTTCACAATAAAGAATTATATTAATAGAGCTTGATAATTCCAATTGCTAGTTAAGAATCATATTAAGAAAAATACACATTTCCAGAAATCATTATTTAATGTTTTTGATGCTAGCCTTTCTCAACACAGAAATTTAAGTATGTTGCCTTCGGGGTGAATTACTGTAATCAGATTTTCATTCAAATGGCATTATTACTATTTAAGGTTCTAATACAGTTTTTCATAAACCAAATTCCAACTTCTTAAGAAATGCCTCCTCTTCCTGATCATTTAAACATTTTCTGTAAACCACGTATTTGGGTCTTCATATCAGTGAGTGGTGTCAGATTCTTGGTCTACTCTCGAGGTCGCAGACACAGGCACCGTTTGGACATTTTTTTGAACTAAATACTAAAGCAAAGG